TCTTTTTGAATGCTCTACAAGCTCCAGGTATGATGCTGACCTGCTAAGACCTGGCTGCCACCAAATGCATCCCACCCAACCTCTCTGATCCATATCTTGGAGCTACAAAGCACATGGAAACCCATGAGTAGTTCAGCTAAAACCAATGGCTTCAGATACACCAGGGCAGGTTTTCTTAGATGAGAAACTTTTGGCTGAAATGGAAATAAAATAAAATAAAATAAAATAAAATAAAATAAAATAAAATAAAATAAAATAAAATAAAATAAAATAAAATAAAATAAAATAAAATAAAATAAAATAAAATAAAATAAAATAAAATATCTTGCAGTTGCTTTGGCAAAATATTTATGTTTTTGCAGAGGCTCCCTTTTACCCAGTTTTGTATTTTTCTGTTAGTTCTGCAGTTTTCTGTATGTCTTTCAGTGAGTAGCCATTTGTAGCACTCATTTTCCTATGGCAGCATGGGAGGAATTAATGATGAAAGTTAGACAGGCTTGAAGGGGATGGCCAAGCCAATGTCTCGAGCTGGGACATGGCACAGTGAAGGAGAGCCAGAGTCTCTCAGCCAAGCAGGATAAAACTTTATGGCTTTTCTGAGCCAGACCATTCTTCATGCTTGCAGATGAATCCTTGGTATGTGCTCACATGCCCTGGTCGAGTGGCGGCTCCTCTTGATCTGAGGTCCAAACATCTCTGGATGTTTGACTTTGCCTGGGAAAGGAGCCTGGCTGAGGTAGGAGGCTGCTGCTCGGGTGTATGCAAATAGGGTGGCTGGGGTTCCCTCTGGCTTAGGGGCTCACAGTAACCAGGCACATGGCTTGGCTTTCCTTCAGACCCTGCTATTTTTACCCTATTCTGCTCCAAATTTATTTGCTGCTTGCCAGCTTCCCAAGGTTTGTCTCCTCAATTCACCTCAGCAGCAAAGCCAAAGCCCAACCCTGTGGGTCAAACTGGCCAGCACTGGGGCAGTAGAGTGTGGGTTTGAATCACAGATGCAAAGCTCACACTTAAAAGTGTTTTTAAAAACTGCTTCCTTTCCTTAAGGCATGCAGGTGTTCCTGGTTCCCTGGAAAAGAGGGAAATGCCTCATTGCCTGTTGATGGAATGAGGCAGAGAGTGGTGGGGCTGGAAAACACACCTGCAGCGTGGGGAGACATGGCAAAGGGAAGGGCAGTGTTCCAGGGATTGTGCGCTGGAGAAGACAATAGCACAAGGGACCCTGGGTCAAACCTTGGGAAGTGGTCATGTAAAAATCTGCCCATAGGATCAGGTTGCAAATTTACATAGCTCTGACAGAGTCTCTTTCAGGAACAAGGCTTGGTCCAGAGCACGCTGGACCTCCAGTGAGGGCTGGTGTTAGAATTGCATTTGGGAGCCTCTAGTGACTATGCAGGTCACTGCAGCAGAGAATGGCATTTTGCAGCTGGTCAGGAAAGAACACAGTCCAGCCAAAACATTCTTTCTTTAAGTGTTGCGAAGAAGTGTGAAAACAGAAAGCTGGATTTGCCCAAATTGTTCATTCCTACCAGCAAGGAATGTGTGTCTCTAAAAAATGTTGCTGGAAGCCTTAGTGCCTACAATCCTAGAAGGATCCTAGAAGAAAGGAGATTTCTTAATACTAGTGGTTCTCCCATGGCCTGTTTTCCTGTTGTCTGAACACTGGAGATTGGGAAGAGGAGTAGAAAGTGTATTCAAGTAGTCCAAGTATTCCCGTTTTATTTCTGTCCTGAATCAGTTCCACTTCTGGGCACTTTTTCCAAATGTTTGTGGTTCCCCTTTTGTCGGTGTAATGCGGAAGGACCTGAGGCAAAGGAGCAGGTCCCCAGGCAAAGGCAGTGGTCAGTGATGCCTTGGCTGAGCAGAGACACCTCCCTGCACAGACTGGGAGTCTTCAGAAAGTGAAGCTGCTGGTCCTTGCAGAAAAGTCTTTGCTTGCTGAGGGCTGTGAGGCATGGCTGGGTCAAAGCATTGCCTGTGCTTAGCGTGCTTCTTGTTTATGGGCAGTGTGGGGAGAAGATGTGAAAAGGAGGAATGATGACTGCAGAGCACAAACAGAAGTCACCTCCTGTGCCACTGAGCTACAGCCTAGAAACTCCATAAAAATGTGCCTGTGGTTTAAGCAGTGCCTTTTATTTATGTCGCATTTCTGTGGGCAGTATAACAAAACAAAATCTGTGAGTGTCACAGGATGGCATGAGTTCTTTCCTTAGGGTTTGGGGCTTCTAAGGTTTTTTTATTAGCTGGAGATGATTTCTTTAACAAACATCCATGCAGCTAGCAAAGAAAAGAGGGAAAGGTTGTGAAATGTCTCTGAGCTCCTCTATCTGCATAATAATAGCAGATCCAGCACAGGGATACTGTGTCTCCTTGCAAAATAAATTCCCATCTGGCTTTCTCTAGTGGCTGCTGGGAGCACATTCACTCAAGGAAATAGGAGGTGGACTCTGTTGTTAAAATGATAATGGAGTTTATACAGTAAACCCCAGCTATCACTAGCTCACTGGAGGTGGCACTTCCTACTGTGCTCCCATCCTCCCTAGCAGCATTTTGCAATATAAATATTTCCAACAAAAGCAAGGCATGCTTTGAGGAAGGCGGTTTTACAGGGAACAGTTTGATGCTGTACAGTAATAGTAGTAATGATGCAATATTCTTAATTCTCAGGACAGCAAATACTGGAAAGAAGAGGAAGCCTTATACTGGGGAGCAAAAACCTTGAGGTAAAATGGAACACAGCTTTTCAGATGTTTCAACTGTTTACAGTAGCCCTACATGAAGAAAAGTTAAGCAGTAACTATGAGGCAGTCAAACAAAACCCACATAATTCACAAAAATATCATAAATTAAATCTGTGTAGCTGGCTAAGGGGAGAGTAGATGAACCATCAGCCTGGAATCCTTCCTGAGGATAAATTTTACAGCACTTCAGAGGGTGTAATGTTACCTAGATCAGTCTTTTTTTTGTCTGTATGTTGTCAAAGCCAAGAATTTAAACTCGGTTGTCACTGCTAATTCTGACTACAACAAAGCAGCAGCAGTATTCATACCTAATGTGTTGGTATGTTTCCCCACCCCCCAGGAATGTTTTTTCATTTTCCAAATTAAATTAAGTGTTGGGAGTAGTTTGGGTGAGTAACAGGGTTTTGTTGTTTTCTTGGAAATAAAAATAAATCGTAGCTCTATTTTCTCTCCTTGTCCTTCTGTATGTGTGAACAACCAGCAAATCAACGAAGTCTCTGCTTTCTAGCAAGAATAAACAGTTTAAAGGAACTGGCTGTGATGCTCCTGTTTGTTTCTGTCTTGGTGAAAATGGCAGTCTGTAAGCTACTATCAGTGTTTTAACATCTTCTATAGGAATTCCAGAGGTATTTAATTTGCTGCTTGGTAAATAAAAGCTGTGCCTCCTGAGCATAATGTGCTGAATATAATCCTCCCTCGATTACTAGAAACACATCAAAAAAATTGTTGAATTGAAACTTTGTGAGGAAGCTGTAACAGACAATCCATCCATTTACTTCCTTTGTCTTATATTTAACTGTTTTCACAATTCCAGGTGCAGTTTGAGAAGGGGACTGAGTTGCAACTATTTGTAATTTTTTCATATTTATGTATTTTTAAAGCTGCTTTTTGTCCTCTTTCTTTCTGCAATATGCTCCATAAATTTTAGCACAGTGGAGTGCAATTGTAGTCTCTTACACTTGTAAAACCCCTAAGAATTACTGAAGTGTTTCTTTCATTAAATTTCATTAATTTTCATTTCATTTTCATTAAATGATCCTTTTCTACTTTAGAGCTTATGTGCTTTGTTATAGAAGCTCCAGAAATACACTCTGGCACATGAAGTAAGTGACATTACAAAGGATTTTTCATCCTTCCTTTAAAATTTGGCTTTAAAAATCTATTTTCGAGTGTTTAGGTATATTCTCTAGCACAGTCTCTAATCTAAGGCTAGATCTGTTGCTGAAAGGATAATTTCTAATGAGAAAAGGTATCTGCTGTGTATAAATACCAGGACTTCAGTTGGATATCAAGGAGTTGGGATGGACCAAAGAGGACAAGCAAGTGCTGGACGGGAAAACAGCTGAGGGAAACTAAAGCTTGAGGACAGCAGGACAGAGCAAGAACAGTTTCTATAAAAGAAAACAATCTGTCCCAAGAGGTGATGTTGTCAAAAATATTCCCTACTAATGGGAGAGTTGAAATCTCAGCTCAGCATCCTCAGTATTTTGGGAACATTAGCAATGATGCCTCCTAAACAACAAGTGACAAAGAGACTTGAGAGGGTGTTCAGAAAATCTAAACCTTTCTGGGGAAACTGTCCAATTCCTCAACCTGGAAGCAAAGAGCTTAAATCTCATTTCCCTGGAAACTGTTGGCCCTGCCTTTTCGTACAGAGCAAACTAAACTGTGTTTACCTCAGCTGGGGAGGTAAGCCATCTGGGACAGTGTATTTTAGGTATAAAAGTCAAAATGTTGCTTTCTTTCTGCTCAGTTGCAGTTTGGTCTTCTCTGCTTGCCTTGAGTAGTGAAAAGATTGTATTTATTTTTTATCAGTCTCTGCGCAATGTCCCACACTTCCCTCTTAAACATCTGGTATTTGCAACTGCTGGAAATGTGATGGAGATTAAATATAAACACGTATTGATTTATGCAATGGCCTTAATGGCTTTTTTATGGTATGGTTTGGCTTCTTGGGGCCCCTTCCCCCCATTTCTAAATCCATTCTTTGGGTTAAATACACTCTCTTCATTTTACCCTTGTACAGACTATGAAGTTCTGGTATCTGGGGATTTCCTGTAGATGAAAAAGAAGCCATGAATTTTGAAGCTATCAAAATACTCAGAAGCTCAAATCTCTACAGCTATTCCACACAGCCTTTGAAACACTAAAGCAGGTTTTATTACAGAGATTAGTTTATGTTACACTCATTTATTAAAACCTAAGGACATGTTTATAAAAACTACTGTATATAAAGACGAGAGCAGTGCAATAGCAGTGTAAAACACATTTTTGGTTTACTTGGCAATCACTTTAGAAAGACAACATGATTCATAATATGAAGTCAGAGAATGCTGCAAAAAATAGGACAGGATTAGACCAGAAACTAGATTAGCAAATCACTGGACACTGGCACGTATTGATTTCAAACATCAAGTGTTATGTAAACAGTATTATCATCAATGTATCAATAAAGAGAAATCACTGCAACCCTAGAATTTCTAGTTAGCTTAGCCTAAAATAGTTGGCTGACTATCAAAATAGACTATTGCACTGTATATATATTATCTTCTTAGTAATTTACTACTTTTGTAAAAGAAGGACTAGAAGAAATGCCTGTCTTATAGAAGAGAACTTTTGAGGCTGAGAAAAGGTGTTTCTTCCCGGCCAGTGGTTGAGGTTTTGTTTTTGTTGCTTTAGTTTTCATACACAATCACAGGTGGCATAGAACTGACTTTTAAAAATCATTTTGACACCACTTCTTCAAGTGGACAGTCCTCATACAGAAATTACAGCCATAGTAAAACTATAAAAAACAGGTGTCTAAAATAGCTGCTACAATATGCTGAATTATACATTAAGAGGCCAGATTATTTTCACTCTGTTTTTTGTAAAATCCATAACCAGGCACGAAAGATGGTTAAATTACAACACCAAGTCCTGCACAAGCTTTTTAACTTATCTTTTTATGTCCTACATTATACACAACAATTACTAAGAAGTTGGACACAGTTCTCAGTGAAACAGAAGAGAGGAAATTATTTGGACAGGGGAAGAGGCTTCTGGAGCAGGAAGGTCACTAATACCCACCGAGAGAGACAGCTGCCATTGTCACATAGGTGTATAATGTATGTACTTTTGTAAGTGTTAATTTCAGTTCTGTTATTTTTCCCAAACATATCAGGATAGACATAGAGGAAAATTCAATTATTTTAGTCCAGATAATTTCTTTTAGAGAAGAATTGCATTTGAACCAGTCTCTCTGCAGAAATAACAGAAAAATTCATTGCAGTTTGTCTGGTCCATCATTATTTTGATTAAGTAAATGAAGGGGGACACCAGAACACAGCTACAGAGGTGGCTGAGGTGTTCAGGTGGCTGTTTGTGTAGCCTGTGCTCTTCTCCAGTGTCCCAACACCAAGGAAGAAGGGCTGATAGAAATGGTGGTAGGGAAATACATAATTTTCCTTTTATTTAATGAATTATTTCCCTTTAATTTAAGGCCCAACTAGCATTAGTCTTATTCAGGATCTTTTATTCTGCTAGAGAGGCTATCAGGTGATTAAAACAACACAATTGATGAAAAATAATTCACCAGCTACAACATGATTTATCCATAAATTAACTGGTAGGAAAAATCAGAATTTCAGCCAGAGAATAATATACCTTATATTAACTGGCTCTGTATAGAGAGTAAAAGAAAACAAACAAACAAAATGCACATCCATTACAAGGTATACATGTGCTAGAAGTAAAGCATAAAACTGCTCATTAATAACGCACAATTCCCAAAGGGAAAAAAACCCTTACAAAATACAGTAAGTCACACAAACCAGTATTTAATACAAATTCCTTTATGAACATAAGCTTTTTCCAAAGCTCTCTGTGGCAGTCATCACTTCACACTGAAAGTAGGTGCTGGGAGAAGGTAAAAAACCCAAGCAGCTACTGCAGAGCACCACAAAAAGTATCTACTGTGGATACTTTTTTGGGTGTCTGCAGTGGTTACGGATCTTGGAGCCAAGGAGGAAGTGGGGAGGGGGCAGGACATTGGCGTGGATGGCATCACCTCCAGCTACTCAGTTTCTTTTTCTTTTCTTGGAGAATTGTTAAGGTGTAACACAGGTGTAACACCCCAGGTGCACTGTGGCAGCTCCTGTAGGTATCTGCTAGCTGAGGGGGTGGGCAGGAGCTTCTGTGGTGAGAGAGAGTGGGCCAGGCTTCAAGCTTTCCTGGGACAGGATGGAGTTTAATGCCTGCAGCGTGGCACACCCACCTGTGAATTTGTTCTTTTAGGTACTGCCTGCCCTGACTCACTGGTACCTAGCATGTTTAGCTGTTGGTTTACAGAGAAAAGGGGCAAGTGCATGTTGGTATCCTACTCAGACTGGGCTTTATTTGAAGACTGGGCTTCCACTCCTGTGGTTTCCAGCCTTGTTGGGTACTCCAACACTATCTATTCCTTCATGGTTTTAGTCATGTATCATCCTGAACTCCAGTAGCCGTGAAGTAACTCAAATCACTGAGAAAAGTGTCCCCTTTGAGTTCAACAGAAGACTAAAATTTATTCAGCCAAAGAGGTACAAAAGGAACATTTGATTATTCATTAGCAAGGTGTTCCTCATGTTGTGGTTACATGGTAAAATGTATGGTTACTTTAAAGTTACTAAGATTTGCAGGACAAAATGTTAGACATGAAGCATGAAATTGGCATTATCATGGCTTTGTGTTATGATTTCCAGATGAACTCCTCTGTTTGCTTGTCATTGCCAGGTTCTCTATGCAAATATCTTAAATAACTGAATTTCACAGGATTTTCTCATGTAATTGATACTGTATAATTTTAAAATAATCCCGTCCTGTGGAAAGTTACATCAACCTATTGCAACCCAGTGATCAAGTGCTCCACATACTTCTCTGGCAGTCATTGCCTTTCTGGCTTACAAATGGATTCTGAGACTTGTGTGGGGTAAACTCTGCAGCCAGTCAGTGGCTGAGGGAATTGGACTACTGCCTTTTAAAGCAGGGGGACAGTGGTATTATTGCTTTTGAAATATACAGTTTGTTGGGTTTTTTCTGTTTCTTTCAGCTTCAAGGAGTATGGGGGTGGAATGGTATTGCATCCTAATAAAGTTTGCCTCTTCAAGAACCTGAATTTAAGATGGACTCAGATGTCTTAGCAGAATCATTGCCAACGATGTAGAAATGTATGTTATGATTGCTACCCTGCAGTCTGACTCAATGAAAGGGCTCTGCTTACCTTAGCAATGCATAGGACAATATGGTGAACAGTGATGTGGATTGCCAGCAGCTACCCTACAGTGACAAAATGTTCACCAGAGAACTTTGGAAAAACTCACATTCAGGATTCTGACACTTAGGCTGAGATTAGGCTCAAATGGCAATTGATGGATGGGGAGGCAAAGAAAAGTTATCTACCAAAGGTTTGTCTTGTGGTTGTTTTCCACCTTTGTGTGGATTTGCCAGAGCAACTTAATTTTCTTCCTATTGAGCATTTTTGCAAATATGATGCTTCCTTTCAGAGATAATAGTGTCAGTCTAGAATTAAAATATTGCTTACAGACTACTTTCTCCTGGAGACTCTTTCTATATAATTTGCCTGTAGAAGTTGTTTGAATGGTGTCTATCTTCAGGTGACTTGCTCAGTCTTCCTCTTTGTAGTCTTTCCTGCTTATCCATAATTTTTTCAGCTCTTGTAATTTAGTTGGTTTCCTTGAAAGCTGCTCCTTGAAGTCTGGTCTTACCTCTCCCATCTTGAGGCACATCAATATAATTTTCTGGAAGACATAAAGCACAAATAGTTTCCATAATGTTTCAGGAGCACTCAACACCAAAGTATTTCCTATAAAGAAAAACCTGTAGTATTCTCAGCTGCAGATTTAATTTGTGGAGGCAAGAAAGACAAAGAAAAAGCATGAGGAAAGAAGAGGATGTGTAAAGAGGCCTCTACCTTCCCTTATTATTTCTGTTTGGTCTGGTATGTCCTTATGTGTGCTATGGATGGCTGCATTCTCCTTCTCTTTTTTGATTCTGCATAGCCAGAGTGGGAGGCTAAGCTTGTTTCTCCCTGCTCATATTAAACTTGTCCTGGCTGCTTACTCTGACTCCTATTCCTTTCCTATAAATGTGCTTCTATTTCCACACGTATACGTTGGTAAATAATATATTTATGTGCTTTCCTCACACAAGTGTTTTAAGTATTACTAAGCTTTTTACTTGCAGCACCTTCTGGACATTACAGCTGCTTTAAATCTGCTGCTTTAAATCTTGTGCAGAGTGTGCAGCTGTCTGTGTGATCCACCCACAAACAGCTATGGCAGGGTGCAGGGGACTGGGCTGAAGGTCCAGCTAGGGAATGTTTTGAAGTAGACTAAAATCATTAATCTAGGAACAAATTAAAGAAATACATCTGTTTGCTCAAGCAGGTAACAAGTGTGAGATGCTGGGCAGTGCAAGGTGGAGTATGCAGCCACCTGAGCCATAGCACAACAGTGATACCTTAATTCAGATTGAGGTGTTTTTCACAGAACTGTCAGCCAGGGAGGACCTCAAACAGAAATATGTGATTTTCTTACAACTCTGAGGGTTTAAGCCTTCACCCAAAACTCAGTCACATGAGACCTGCCAAGACAGCTAATTCCTTTCTAATAATCAAATAGCCTTATTCATGTTAAAAATACCAAAAAAAATTAAGTTGTTTTGTTCTGCCACTGTCCTTTTTTGATACTGGTAGAAATGCATATTAACACAAGATGCAAACCTGCCTCTTGTAAGGCCTGCACACAGATGAAGTTCAAAATGAGTTGTTCATATCTTGAAGAGAGTCTCAGAAGACAGCTATAACTAATTAAAAGAACACCTGGGGAGATGAGCGCATATCATGGCTTGCAGGCACCTCTGTCCTTCACCTTCAGTTGTTTCTGCTCACTCTTTTGTAGACTGCCATGTGTGCTTCTCTCCTGTGAAATGATTTACTAATTTGCTATCTGCATAATTTACATCACTAGATTGTTTGACAGGATGCAGTTTCTTTTATTTATCTGTCTTTGCTTTTAAATAAATGTTTAGAGATGATGCAGACAGAGGAGGCATTTGTGTGCCCCAGGACAGAGTGCAGTTTTAAATATATCAGACCTATCAGCAAGTTGCTCTTTTCCTCTACCTGAGTGTCCCAAAGTTGCTGCTGGTCAGATCCTTCTTCAGGTTAATGTAAAATCAAGTGTCACCAAGGTGGTGTAAAGTGAGAGTTACTGGAGTCCCTGTACCCAAAGGCCATAGCAAAGTTCATGAATATTTGTCTGCAGCACAGAAGCTAAAATATCACTCCTGTGAGTATCTTGGATTTCCTTCCAATTCCTCTCATCTGTCTAAAGCTATGGGAGAATGAGTGTGAGGATGTGGACAGCAGAGCAAACAACACACAGACCCTACTCATTTCTGAAAGCCTCTTACAGCAAGTAGAAGTATTCACCCTGCATTTTCCAAGCTGGATGAGTCTGGGCCAAATCGACAGCTTCTCCCTGAAACCAAACCCTGACAGGACAGTTGCTAGGCTAAAAAGTCCTCTTCCCCTACAAAAAATGAAGTGAGTTGTGTGATTGATTGATTGATTGATTGACTGCAGGGCTGGACCAGTAAGGTTGAGAGGTACTGCTTCAGATCATTTTGCACCAGCAGGATCCCATAAAAATACCTGCATTTTCCTAAGAAAGATGAATGCTAATTTCCATGTGCAAGAGTGTTACTTTCCAGTCTCCCAACATAGAGTGCTTGGCAGCAGAAACCCTGTGTTTGTGACTTCTGGTCACTTCTATAGCATTTTCATGCACTTGGAGTTGAAGCTTGTATTCTGGAAGTGGCTCAGGTTGCTCCTTTTCCCTGGTAGAGGTCGTTGTCACAATACAGCACCCCAGGCTGACACTGCTACTCTACCTGGCTGCTCAATGATCAGCACCCAATCAAGCCACATCAACTAGGGGGAATTTTAGATCAGATATTGGGAAGAAACTCTTTACCATGAGGGTGCTGAGGCCCTGGCACTTTGGGCACAGGTTGCCCAAAGCAGCTGTGGCTGCCCCATGCCTGACAGTGTCCAAGGCCAGGTTGGATGGGGCTCTGAGCAACCCAGGATTGTGGAAGGTGTCCCTGCCCGTGCAGAGGGTGGAAGTGGATAAGCTCTAAGGTCCCTTCCAACCCAAAGCATTCTGTGATTTTTAATGCCTGACAAGGCAGCAGCCAACTAAAAGACTGCCTCCTCTTTGACAGCAACAATTGTTTGGTGGGTCACTTCTGATGGAATGAAATGTCATCCATTAGTAATGAAGGAATGATTCAGAGCCTCTGGAGGCAAGTTTTTGTAGAGATTTCTGCCATTTTTCTAACAAATGAGGTTGCCACATTCACCATTACAAGGCCTCTGGTTAAACTGGTGTTTACATACAAGTGCCATCAATCACCACAATCCCTTCAGGCCTCAGATACACCCTGGATCCCATGACTTACATGAGTTGCGGCCCACAGTTCACATGAAAACAACCAGTCTCTGCAACTGCTCAGGCTTTACTCTGGCATCAAATGGCACTACACTGATCTGAGCAGGCCTGCTGTGATCTGCATCTGTTAAGGTTCTGCTGCAGTGCCTTCCAGTCTCGTCAGTGGGATTAGAAGAAAAGTGTTTTCTCTCTCTGGTCACAGGCAGAGCTAGGATGCCAGTCTAACAGCTTTCTGCAATTAGAAGCCCTCGGTGGCTACACTGATTGTTATGGGAAATAGGAATGTGCCCTCCTTCCCCAGAAATGGAAGGATGAGGGAAGACAAAGAACAATGCACTAGACTTTGTAAAAACCTCACCAGATTGAAAGGAAGGACATGATAAATTAATTGTAAGGCAAGCATTAAATGAAAAGCCATTCAGTTGTCTAAATACATTTCAAACCAGAAAGAAATACAATATAATCTAATCCCTCTGCTTGTGGAGTCTGCCAAAGAGCAGGGAAATAATTTTCATAGTTTGGCATGTGTAGGCTCCTATGGCTATGTTATACAGAGCATGTAACATTATATGCAAAATATACACTGAAGGTTGCTTGGGTTACCAATACTAATTCTTAAAAGTTACAGAATTCCAGAATGAATGCTGCTGGTTCAATCTCAATTTGGCCATCTTGTTTACATGAAAGAAAATGGAAAGTCTCAGACTTTTTAGACGTGGCTCCTAATTTTTTTTTTTTTTTTAATTTTTTTTTTTTTTTTGAGAGCATCATAACAGCTGAATGAGTCAGGTTTGAAGAAATTTCAACAACAAGAAGAATTTGCTTCAGGTTGGCTCAATACCAAAGAGGCTGGATGTTCAGGATTTTTTGAACTGACAAGGGACAACTCGGCATTAAGCAGTGGCCCTGGATGCTGCCATCTTGCCATAAAGAAACATTGGATTTGCCTCTATTTTCATTCCCAGGCTGAATTACCTCACTTCTGATGAATCATGAATTCTCCTCTGATCTAGCTGTGAAATGCATCCCAGCACCGGCATGAGGTTCAGATGAGAGGAGGACTCTTAAGTAGTGGCAAATCAATTTTGTTCCAGCCACTGTGTAAAAATGACCACCATCACTGATAGCCACTGCTAATATTTCTAAACAATAGCTGGCTCAGGGAAAACAAACATGTGGTGCTTAAGAGTTTAAACAAAAGTCAGGCACTGGAAATGTTCGACTTGAAAAGCAGACTAAAATTTCAACTCAAGTAGTGAAATTCTGTTCCTACTGTAGCTGACAATTCTGCAAAAATTGAAAGAAATGTCAAAATATGTTTGAAAGCAAATACCTCAGGATGGCGTTAACGTTTAAACAGTATAAATGTGCAATACATGGCTGATTCACCAGAGTTAAACAATGTTGCTTTGCAGGTAGGAAGAAAGCATTTGGATTATTTAAATTTCCCTTGCATTATGCTTACAGCAGTGTATTTGCTCACGCTACAACGAGCTAACATCAGCACAGTGTCCGTGAGGTCAGACACAAGGTGTGAATGTCACCTGTGCAGCTGTTCTCCCTTCCACCTAGGAAATGCAGGTGGGAAACAGGCATGTGCTTACTTCCACTGCTCTTTCACAGCTCAGTAGCTTGTCTGTGTAATGGGAGGTAATTATCACCTAAGGGCATCATGTGTTAAAAAGGTGACTGCTGTCAGCTGTCTTAGACATCAGAGTCCTGACTGTTTACAATGGATTACTAGAAAGGCTTATTAGAAAAAAATCAACTTGTGAAGCAGCTCAATTTTAAAGAAGTTTACATCTGGATAGTTTGTTATGAGTGCTGGTAAGTCTGCTTTTTAAATTGCTCACCACATTTCTTAAGAATCTCACCTTATACAAACCAGCTTAAGCTTGTGCAACTCCCATAATGGCTCAGGGAACATAACCTGAACTGCACATTGCATCACATCACTTCTGAGAGCCACCCCCTGGTTTTGGAGGAACTTTAGACACTTTGGGAAGATCTTGTGTTCCCGAGGGACAGGCTGGCTTGGGCAGAGAGAGCTGCTGCCAGATGTCAGGCAGGTACCTGCTGGCCAGGTCATGCTGCTGTCCTGCAGAGGAAGGTTGGTGACCCAGGGGAGGTGTAGGGCTGCTCTCTGTGTCAGAGGGACAGACAAGAACTTGAAAGATTTAAACTCCACTGCTGCCGATTTTCCAGGCAGATCTGAAACTAATACCAACACCTTCTAACTAATAACAGCTGCATGCCCCCACTGGCAGGCACTCACCCTTAAGACTGGGTTATGCCACCAGTGGACGAGCTTTGTTTGCGTCTTTAAATTACTTTTAAATTTGATTCTGTGACTTTCTGTTGTTGAGTTCAGAGATGGTTTTCATAGGAACACTTTGCCTATAGGATGTGTTTGGGCTTCACACTGCTAGGCTCACTGGTTTGAACTCATGTGTAGGGCAGTGCTGTGATCTGGAAGCCAGAGAGCTTGGAAACGAATTTCAACCACTCAGGAACTGATTTTGATCAGCCAGGTTTTGGCACAGCATTGTGGTCACTCTACCAAATATCTGGCTGCTCTTTTGGGAAGAAGGGCTTAGGATCTGCTTGGATCTAAGGCCTGTCCTACAAATGCATGCAGGAGGAGATTTGGCACTTGGAGTGAACCTGGAGAGCAGACAAGGATTGGCCTCCTCCAGCTCCTTCCCCTGAACTGTTGGTGTTAAAACAGCAGCTGGCTTAACTTTTGTTATTAATATGGCTGCCTGGCCAACAGACCAAAGCTAAGAGGGAAAACGGGTTTCCTGTAGAGTCTCTGGAATATCCATAACTGTACAAATTAAATACATCTTTTGTCCTATCAGCTGGGTTGGGTGGGAGAGGAATGAAACCACACAGGATACAATTTTCTCTATTTTCTTACTAATGGCCGTATTTTACAATACTCACTTGCAGTGATGTGAAACCAATTGGGTTGCTAACATAAATAAACATTACTTACTGTAAATAAGGTTTCTGAAGTAATTCTATGCTCCTGAAAGTCAAGTATTTTTCAATTAGTAGCAGTGTTTTTCATTTGGTAGTTCCTGAATTGGTTGATACTCCTGAACACTGTTCTGAAAAGCAAAAACAACCAGGAGAATTTCTGAGGTTTGTTTTTATTTTAAATGGAAATCTGAAGCATTCAAGGTTTGATTTACAAGTTTTAAATGGAGGAACTAGGAAAGTTTGAGGATGTAAAGTGAAAGATGATCACTGAAAAGCTGTTTTCTTCACTGAGGAGCTGAAGTTTGACTTTTTGTGATCTGAAATGTTTTCTTCCTCCTCTTAAGATTATTTGAGTAACATACTCAGAACACCCCAGGCCTTCTAAAGTGTCTTAAAAGAGTGGATGGCCAATTACAACTGAAAATTTGACTTACTAATTCTCCAGATATTTATGAAACCCTCATGTAATCACCAGGCTGCCTGAATAAGATGTGTCCCTTGAGGCTGAAATTCATCTGGTTGATAGTTGATGAATTTTCCTGCTAAAATGTGGTAGTCTTCAACAGCTGATACACCTGAACCAAAATTTCTTTGTGTGATTCACAAAAAATCTCCAACCCTGGTTTTTCTATATAAACACTGTGAGCTGCTTTCAAGTTTTTTCAAGACCCCAAGGCATCACAATGCCAAGCTCAATGTGGGTATCATATAAGGAACTGAAGACTTATTATTCCACTTGAGACTCGTTTTCACATCTTTTTCATGTAACTGGAGTGACCAAATAGCTTTAATTGCACTCCTGTCATAAAGGAAGATATTTAAAAACAGATGGGCTAGAGGCAAGTGAGTAGTTGTTTTTTTTTTAGTCTGCTTCTTTAAGGTCCAAGTGGGTTGCTTTGGAGAGGAGATTTATTGCTGTGTGTAGTGTAATTTAATGGCAGAGATACTCCAAGTGGGTTTTCATCCCACCTAACTGCAGACACTAGAATGGTAAGATGGGTTCATTTCTAGAGAGTCACCTCAGGGTCCTTTACTGTCAACAGAAAGCAACTCTGCAGAGCTACTCCATTTCTCCTTGGACAGGTTCCAAAAGAAACTGATAGTGCAGGAACTTCACAGTCCCAAGCCTAACTTAGGAAATGAGAAGCCCCAGTGGTCCCAAAAACTGAATTATAAATATGTGCAGCACTGGTATAGATTTCTCTTAACATCATCTCTGTCATGAATAAAATCTCTCAAGAAATCCACCCCAGTTAAAATACTGTGTTTAGTTATGTACAGTTAATGTTCTTATCCCATTTGTAAACCTTGTACCCCTTGTTTACTCTGATGGTTATTAGTAATGTTAATTACTTACCAGTTTCTGAAGTGTTTTAAAGGTTCTTATGAGACATTCCTCTACCCCTTTCCCTTACTTCCTTGCTACTGAGAGGAATGATGGGTTTGTCTTTACAAACAAGCTGTAGGTCTGCTGATAAGATGCAGCTATCAGTAAGAGACAACAAAACAATAGGATGGATTCCACTGAAAGATGAAAGAGGCACTGAAAGAGCACCATGAATTCCACAAAAGTTAAGAAGGGATTATGCACTGGGTGGGGGGAAGGTATCCCAGGTATCAGGCGTTCCAGGAAGCCTGTACCTCTCAAGTACCTCAGCCTATGGGAAGAGAGAGAAGGGACAAGCGGCCGGGAATTAGGATAAAAAGGAGGCTTCGCCCTCCAAAAATTTGAGAGACCCCAGGGGAATGCCCCATGGCCTCTCCCTTTATTTGAATAAAGAAGAAGGACTCCTCTGTCTCCTTTTTGGACAGAAATCTCTGGTGTTTGTGGATTAATTTTCCTGACATATTTTTGGGGGCTCGTCCGGGATATTTCCACCGTCCGGGGCAGCGGGCAGCGAGCGGAGCTGAAGGCGCGCCTCACCCAGTTTTGGTGATCAGCTCCCCTTGGTGGCGGCCGGCACCGGGCGATCGATTGGGTTCCCGAGACTGTCCAGGAGACAGACGAGTGGCGGACCAGGGGGGTCCGTGAAGAGTCCACAGGGAAGGACCACTGAAAACCTCACCGGTGAGTAAAATGGGATCTTCGGGGAGCAAGCCTGGGAGGGCACCCAGAGAGGGTAGCACAGGCAAGCCTGGGAGGGCACCCACGGAGGGTTGCACAGGCTAAACAGGGCACCCATGGAGGGTAGCAAGGGTACAGCTGGGAAGGGGTCCCGGCAAAAGGGATGACGATCCCACAATACCCCCGGAGAGTCCCTTGGGGAGAATGCTGAGATCTTGGGACAGATTATGCATTCACACAGAGGTAACTATGGAGATGGTGGTAAAATACTGTTATTATGTATGGCCAGAGTATAAGTTGCCAAATGGACTTGTATGGCCACCTTAGAAAACAGAATTCATTTGTGTTGAGTTCTGTGATGGTATCTAGAGGAGAATTGGAAAAGATGGATTGAAAGGGAATGTGGATTGATATGGTTTAAACAAACAACAAGAGAAATCTATGTGTTAAGAAAAAAAAAGGAGAAGAGGAAAAAGCGGGGGGAAGAAGAAAACAGTGAAGATTAAAATGTTTTGCAGCACCTTCCCCCATCTTGTCCTCCAGTGTTACCAGCTGACCCAGGGCCAGCTGCAGGCTCCCCGGTATCCTCACCTTCCAGGGCAAAGGGATCAGGGAAATGCTGTTCCTACAGCTGCACCTGAGAATAACAGTGGTGTAGGGGGAAGGGAGCAGCATATCATATCAATGCCTGGAACTAGAAGGGATCTCGAGAATCCATGCCCGGGGTGGGGGGGGACAATAAAGGAAGTCAAGAAAGAGTCTTTGGCAGCAGGAGATGGATGGATTGTGTTTGTGTGCTGGAACAGAATTAGTTAATGGAGAGTGTGGAGAGACATGGTTGAAGCAGGGACCAGGAATAGAGGTGCAGGACCAGGAGCACAGGCTGGGGGCCTGTGGGGCTGCTGGGACTCAGCACTGGGCAGTGCCTGACCCCACCGGCCCCGGGCAGGGGCAGCAGCAGCTGCCGGCCCTTTGAGGCTGCGGGATGCCCTGGTTGCCTGTGGTGCTGCTGGCCGTGCCCGCCGGGAGCACTGGAGCGGGGAGGAGCTGTTTGGACAATGTGGCAGGACAGGGACTGGCTCTGGTATTCGGTGTGTGGTAAATAGAGTGAGCACAAGGAGGAAAGGCGAAGGTGATGGCCTTTTTCAGGCCAGAGAAAGAAAAACCGCAAGGTCCAAGGGGTCCCCCAGGACAGAGGGGATGGGATCGGCCACAAGGAAGTGGCAGAGGCATTTTCTCCCAAGCAGGGGAGACCCAAGCCAAACAGCAGTTGGGAAAAGATCAGTGTGCTGTCTTCAGGGCATAGGACACTGAAAATGGCAATGTCTGCAAAAAAGCCAGAAACAGATGGATTGTTGAGAAAGTCCAGATGATAAGAGAAATGGATTGTTAAGAGTATCAAAAGCTCTCATGATATCCAACCTAGAGCCGTTGTCAACTTTTAAAGTGGATCTGGATCAAGGAGAGGTGTGTGTCTTAGTAAAAACAATGACCTCTTGATTCACCTTAATTTTTATCTCCGAGGGGGAAAATTGTCTAAAGAATTTTTTTGATCGTTCTAAGGAGTTGTGAGAATTGTGGTTTCTTCTGTGGGCTCAGAAGTTTGAACACATCTTTCTCTGAAAAAATTGTAAAAATTGTAGTAAATTGATTTGGAGATTTAATTCATTTGTCTACATGAGGTTTTGTGCAGAGCTGAATAGCTCCGGTTTAGAGGAGACCACAGTCCTCTGCTTTTTGTATGTTTTGTTGTAAAAAAGCCAGAATTGGCAAATTTCAGTTATGAAGTCAATGCTGCAAGTCATACCTTGTGGGAAACATGCCCACCAGTCTGTGGTTTGTTGTGGCCCTAAAGCAAATTCTGTAGCTGCAACCTTGTGAAGATAGTGTCCTAGAGAAAGCCTGGGTATTTGTCATGCACTTCCTCTGTGGAAGTTATAGGAAAACTTTAAAGGAAAGTATTTTGTTTTCTTTCCTTAATAAAAGTTTTAAATGTTAAAGGTTATAAAATGTTATAAATATTAGAGTTTCCTTAATAGAAGTTAATTTGTTAGTCACCTCCCTATGCCTAAGATGGACTTGATGCAAAAATTGAGATGGGGAGTGGTTAGTTACTAAAAAATAAAGAAATGTGTCGCTCTATTAGGAACAGCGAGAAGAACGACACAGACTCTCTAGGGAGTTGATTAGGAGAATTTCTCTCAGTTTATTGCCTCAGATCTTTTTTATAGACTGATACATGAAAAGTACAGAAAAGAAACTCTTATTGGTTAGTAAACTAACACATCACCATCATTGGTCAGTAGGGCTCACCATCCCTTGACCTTCTCTTGCCAGAAAACAAGGAACAGACAAACAGCACCTGCAAGGCTGTTTTCTGTCTCTGAGGATTGTTTTAATTTCTCCCCATGATTTCCCAGGCCACTTTCCCAGGCAAGACTGAGAAAGCTATGTGGCCTGCAATTTCCACAGGCACCTTGCTCCCTGCTTCAGAGTTAGCATCCATAATTCCCCCTTTTTGTTTTTAAAATAAAAAAGCAGTGTTTGTAATCTCCTGCTGGGCCCTTGCAGGAAGGGGAACAAACACAGCACAAGAGGTTTCCTCCAACAGAACTTTGAATGGATACTGATTTAGAATGTTTTGCCTTATGTTCTTGATGTTTAAGGATTGTTTTCTTTGCAAGGACTTGATGGTTGACTCTAATACAACTAGTTCAGTGAACTAACACACACAGCATATAGAACATCGTTAGTCTGCTCAAAACTGACAGTCTAACTTGTCAACAGGGAAGTTTAAAAGAATACCAAAGTGACAAAACTGAAGTTAAGAACACCTAGATCTAAACCCAGTGAAACTCTACTCAATTTTACCATGTAACATCTAGAAACCTTTTTACAGATCAGTCAACAATGTAATTCACAATGCTTTGATCTTTTTTTTTTTTTTTTTTTTTTTTATTTTTTTTGTTGTTGTTGTCCATTGGATTTTCCCCTCAAATATGATTGAGGGACCCGTAGAGTTCACATGGCTGTGGTCAAAAACCCCCCGACTCTCTGCAATCA